ACATTGACTAGTCAACTGGGAGCCCTCTAACCTCTCTTGACTTCTTTATTAACAAGATCACCATTGACATCACTGGGAAGACTTGCTGTATTTAATTGACTTAATTTGGAAATGCATGCCATCTAAACCTCAGCCACCTAGTCTGTTCGGTCGGGAGAGAGAGACAGACATCTTCTGAGGGCAGTTCACTCTATCTACTTTAAGCATCTAAACCGTGACCAAAGAGCATAATAGAGCCAAAATCTGTGCATGCTGTGCCATAGTCTGTAGAAGTCTCTGCAGTTAAAAAGCGCCATTGTTGTGTAGTTACTGTTACCAATTACAGGGCAAGATAGAATGTCTCTTAATTAACTTAATAACCTGATAGGTACGTTTAGACATAGCTAATTAGGACTTTCTTGTAATTGGGCCCATGATTAATAGACTGTGAAGACTGTTTCATTTGTATTAAATGCATGGACAGTTACAAGGAAATTAAAATTTGAGCCTTCATTGAATAACTAATAGAGGACCTCAGGACAGTACAATAACAAAAGATTATTCTCTTTATAAAGAATTAATATATTAAGCTGCTACTTTAGACCTGTTTGTTTTTTTTTCCAAGATCCTTTGCAGCCTTATCAATGTGTGTGCATGAATCTCTTCTCGAAACATCCACAAATCGACTTCTACAAGTTTTTGTTTTGGGTTTTTTTAATACAGTCTATGTAACATAGTTCAGTAAAACTAAATGTAAGAACATGTGAAGTTACCATTACAGAAGAAAGTAGAAATGATTTGCACAATACAAGGTTAAATTCTTGAAGGAGTTAACTGACAGAGCTTACATCATCTTGCCATTCTTTCTCATTCTGCCCTCAGTCAAGGCAGAACCAAATTTGGAGCAATATAATGGGGAAGCAGCAGAAACTGATGTATTCACCCTAGTCTGTAGTAACCGTGGAAGTTCCCTTTCACTCCTGTTCTGTGCTCCAGTGTGTCTCATGGGTGCACAGGGATTTCATAATTACTGACATCTGAACAGGCTTCCTCACTTGTTACACAGTTGGAAGGAAGAGACTGAGAGGAGTCCTATTGATAGAAAAGACAAAAGGACATGGAGTGAAAGGAAGACATAGCAGTGGAAGGAAGATAGGAGGAGCGAGATTATGGGTAGTGAACAGTTCATTTGGCAGCATGGACACCCAATCTGCCCTGGTTTTTTATCTATTGTTATAAGGCACACTGTGCACAGAAGAACATAGTTTTCTTATTTGAATTGTAGAACACTTAGAAATTTCAGCCAGAAATGCAAAAAGTATAATTAATGTTTCTAAGAGATATATGTGTCTTGCATTTCTGTTTTCATGCATAATTGAAACTTATCTGATGATTTTTTCATCAAGAAATGATTCTCAATTTCAATGATCTTGTGCCGTTTTCATTCTGCTCTTAATGCAGAGGCGTCTTCACTGAGAATAGTTGGTCTTTTCCCTTTTCTTTTTCTTGTGAAACCTTGCCTACTTAGCACATTGTGAGTCAGATCAGACTGCTGCTAACCAAAAAGGAATTTTATTTTTGTACCCTGTACACTTTAGTTTTTCTTATTTAATACATTCACTTTTGTCATCTTTTTTTGAAACATTTCAAATGTGTAAGAGTATATTTAGACTACCATGTAGTATGTTATTCCTGCTGTCTATTAAGATGTCATTCAAGCAACAGATGAGATCATCAAATAAACTTTCGGTAATTTAATCAGAAGTTTAAATTAGTTTTACTAGCAAATGGTGATAAAATGAGAATACCCCTTAATAGGCATTTATAATCTGTAATGTCTTTTCACCTTCACTGAAGTGTATGTTTTTTACTTGAAAATGAGCCGAGTGCTCACTAAGTACAGTTACTGCCTGTCTGAAGCTTTTTTTTTTTTTTTGGTGTGTGTGTTTTGGTTTTATCTTTCTTTCTCTTGCCCCTTCCACCCCTCCTCCTCATGACATAGCCAAGCAACAGTCAGATAACATATTTCCATGTAATTGCCAATTTGACGGGGATTACAAAAGTCTCAAAGGAAGCATGAACTTGAAGAGCATATGTTGGGGGCTGTGCAGATGGAGTTAGGTCCCTTGATGAACTAGGTGGCAGAAATTGGTAGAAGGGCGGTAGTGAGGGTCATGGAGTTATGATCTTACTTCTGGAATCTCTCACTGTGTGTGTGGGAGAAGGATATGGAAGAGAGATGACACCTCCTGTATGTGAATGTGGATTTACACAGCTTTTGTTACTTGTTCTTTGCACGTTCTCCAGAGTTCAGGAACTCCATGGAAAGTGGTAAGCTGGAGACCACTTTCAAACCTTGCTTGGAGCAGCTTGAGAAGCAGATCCCTAAGAGCTTCTTTTCTCCCCTTTTGCAATGGAATACTTGCAGTAAAGAGCTTTGTCTTTCTTTAATGGCAGGCTTTGTAATCTGAGTCACATTTGGGTTCATTTTAAGTTGCATTTACTTTTAATGACAGCTCTGAAAGTGCTTGAGGCAAATCAGTTTTAGGCTTATTACACCGAAAAAGTAGTATTTTTTTGAACTGCATACTCTTTTCAGTTTATGAGGATTCCAGCAATGTTACTTCCTTTTTTTTTTTTTCCGCTTCAGATGTAAAGGATTGGTACAACAATTTGTTACTCCAGATAGGTAAAAGTAGCCTATATCTACAGTTTTTTAAACTTTTCTAACTGCTATCACAGAAAAGGACTGTTTATTCTCTGGGACAGTGCAGATCGTTATATCACTCAGGTCTTATCAATATGTTTACAGTAGATAAAAAAAGTGGTCCTTTTGTATAGGATCAAATTTCACATCACCTCAAATAGAACTTTTTTTTTGCTACTTTGTACGATTATGTTCTTTATTTTTATTACTAGGTCTCAGAATGAGGTAAAGAATCCTGTAAGCAGTTTTAATTTATTAGATCTCTTTATGTTAAATAAAGATTATTCCTTCCTGTTACAACCAAGTCAGTTACAAAGACAACAGCCAAGTAGCCTTTGTTTTACATTGACATGTAGGCATTCTAAAATTTTTATTTTTGTGTACTAACTTTTTTAGTGCTACATTAGTTTTGTAATGTATTATTAGTAAATTGTCACCCCTGCATGTCTTTAAAAATTTAATTGAATCAGTGCATGTATCTCAGTTCTCATTTTCAAACCATGATTCTGAGAAATTATTTAAATTACAAGTCAGCTATTACAGATTGGCACTTTTCCATTGGTAATAGGATCGTCAGTGGAATTCCTACAGCTATGGTGGTCCATTACAAGGACTAGATTACATCTTTCCATTGTCTCTAGTTCTTTCCATAGTCACTAGTTCTGTTTGGCAGGGAAAGAAAGAAAGAATTGCTGTTAGTGTTGCCAAGCAACCAAAATACGAATTACTCTGATTTCTGGATTTTTCTTGTATGATGTATATGAGAGAGTTTCTCCTACCTTGGTGAGAGACAGTCTAGATGAAGTTACTCTCCATAGCTTTAAAAATTCTAAGATTATTAAGTAGCTTAATTTCTGCCTGTGGAGTTCCATTTTGAAACCAAAGACACCTGGGGGTTTTTTGTTCCCTGTAGATAGATACCAAAAATCACATCACAGAAGTTAACATCTTCACAAGACATGAGACTGGGCATATTTTCTCCTTTTTGTTTTCTGAAATTAAATTTCTCTTTTTGAAATTGAAAGCTTGTTTTTGCTTTGTTTTCACTTATACGTAATTGTTTATGCCACTACTTGTATAAAAAGAATGGAAAGTCTTGGAGTGGACAAAGATAACTTGCTGTGCCTTAGTAATCCTGCCTGCTGTTATTCGTGTTTACTGCTATTTGGAATACTTCTTTTGAAGTATCTTTTCCCAACACACTTAACTGATGGTAATACTAAGTAACTGCTGGTATTTGAAAAATTATTTATTAAATTAAAATGTGTGGAAACGGTGAAGTGAGGATAGACTTAAGTGTGTATAGTTATGGTAAGATTTATGCTTGGGGGTAGGTGAAGAGAATAAATGCTCTGAACAACTTAGCTAAGTTTTTTTGTTGTTTGTGGTTTTGTTTGGTTTTGTTTTCTTTCTGATTTTGTGGTACATTCCTGTAATTTTTTGCTTCTGTGCAGCTTTTTTGTTTTTCAGTGACGATCACAAATTTCCTGTAGAACTATGTGGGTTTTGGGGTCACCTCACCTGCCACATGAATAATTCATTTCCTCTCAGAGCACATGTGCAGCACAGAGCCACAGCTTCTTTCTGGACTCCTAATGTGTTTTATGTGTAGGAAGCCAGGAAGAACCCCAGCAGCAGTATGGAGAGTGCTTCTCTTTCTGCAGCTGTGCAAGGCCAAGGTGTAAAACAGCAGTTGGGTAGTATCAGTGCATGGCATAGAAAATGCTTTCCTCTTGGCGTTGGTTTTGTATCTGTGTCTGCAACAGTGAAATAAAATATTTGCTCATGTCTATACAATTGTATTTTTGAGGACTCGCTTTAAAAAATATTTGCCTATTTGATCAGACCTTGGAGTTCCCAGATATGAATCCATATTCTAACCAGGTAATTGTTTCATGTCTGTGTGAAATGAAAAATACATGAACCTTCCTGATACACAAATTTCCAAGGAGAAGAAACTTGCATGTATGGGTCAGGCAAGAGCTACTTGCTGCTCTGAAGAGGTGCTTGTTGTGCATGGTTAAATGAACAGTATTCAGATTGTTTGGGGTAAATCTGAACAGGTAGCAGGGACTAGATTTTTTTTTTACCAAAATTCCAGTGGATAAGAGACCATATAGGTTAATAACACTTCAGACATGAGTCTTTCATAGTGCAAAACTTGCAGTACTTTGAGGAGATGGATGTTTCTAGCTGTTTTCTTCAAAGTTGAAAACAGTTTTCCTTCATAAATGCTCATTTACTTTTGGTAAATACAAGATTAGTTTAGGTGCAATATCTCACTAATTTTTTGTTCTGTTTTAATTTTCTAAAGGAGTTGATGACCAAACTGATAACAGAGACACCTGACCAGCCAATCCCATTTCTAATTGATCATCTTCAGTCCAAACAGGGGAACCGCCATCAGCTTCAGAGAACGTTGTCTGGCTCTGCTGCCCTTTGGGCAGAGAGTGAAACATCAGGTATGTTCTGTGTGCTGGAAGGAGCTAGACTCCTGTATAATTTTCCAACACTTTTGTCCATGATTTCCTGGGTGAGCATATACCTACTGAACATGTACTACTCTATGGTTTTGAACATGCAGAATAAATCTGGTTTGTCCAGTAGATACTGAACTTAATACACGTTACTGGCTATCACCTCAGCCTGTGTACATATGATGTGAGTACGGGTCATAGTTACAGAGTGGAAACAGTCCAGCTCTCAATGAGAAAGTATGTCCATATAAAAGTTCCTGGGTTTTTTTGCTGTCCTCTTTGCTTTCATTTTCTCTTTTCTTTGTTTTCCTTTTCCCTCCCATGGTGTATTTGTGCCAGAGATTAACCTCTATCGGGGCATTTTCTTTAGTAATACATATTTTTAACGACCTATCATTCCAACCCTTAATGAGAAGATGCTATGCTACTTATGAATTCTAGTGTAATTTTGGATTGCAGATCTTCAGAAGCATTTAAAAAATATTCTGAAAAAATATCTGCTTTGATTGTAAAGTAGAAATCTTAGCTTTGATATTGTGGTAAAAGCTACTATTACAATGTTAGTTTTGTGTTTAAAAATTGACTGTTTCAGACTATAGTAGAGCTTAAATAGTTGCTGGCTGATAGTCAAAATGTTAGTTGACTGACAAATCAACTTTTTATTTATATCAAATATCCGATTTTAAGCATAGGTGGTAAAACTTAAGAAAATAAATGGACATTAGGGACTTCTTCATAACAAAAAATAGACTTCTTTTTCATAAAAAACTTATTAATTAATTTCTAAATTTTGATATTTAGGAAATGGAATAAATATATTCAATTGAACGTAAATCAGAAAAAGAAGAAGAAAAAGAACTGTCTTTGGTTTCAACTGATAGGCCTTGGTTTTTTTTGGATTAATTGTTTATTAAGTCTTGGGAAAATGACCCTACAAATTTCACAACTATCTGATTTGATTATTTTAACAGAAAATAAAGGAACAAGAAGAGATTTTAGAAGTTATGATAAGCCTTGGCAGGTAAATGCAAAAAAGCCCAAAAAGTCGAAGAGCGACCTTGCTGTGTCCAACATTTCTCCACCATCACCGGAGTCCAAGTCATGTAAGAAAGCTTCACTACGTTAACAATTTGTGCATACTTTCAAAACCATAGTATGTTTTTCTGTTGAATTAGTATTAGAATGGAAAGCAAACTATGAGCAGTTGAGATGGCTGTATATGTGTTAGAAGAGTTTGATTCTTGCCGTACTCTCACTTGAATTCTGAATATTTTAAAATATCCTATGTTGTCATCTATAGATACAATAGAATTCTACATAGATGGTTTAAAAAATAGACTAATCTCTGGGTGTCACGCACAATTTTATATTTGGATACTAGTTATGACTTGATGTTTTCATTTGCAGTGTCATTTTGCATGTGTAAAATCTGTTCTGTTGATATTGGTCCTAATAACAGATTTTTTTCAGGGGATCAGGCAATGCAAAACTATGAATTATGAACAGCTACTGTTCAAGGTATAGGGGCAGTGTCAGCAGAACAGATGTACTGCTCTGAGAGTTGCTGGAGGAATCTAAATGTACACTGAAAGAAAAAGCAAGAGAATGGCTGAAGAGAATATTGTCAATCACCTGTAAAATAGAAGTAGTAAAAATAGAGGCAACAAACCTTAACGAAATATAATGCTTCCTGTGTACTAGCTATTGAAGAAATTTAATTTTTAAGCTTGATTCTTAATGTTCATTTTTTTCACAAATAAATATATCTACAATATGCATATGTACATAAATATAGTTACACACATACAGAATTGTGTGTACAAGATTTGTTCTCCAAAATAAGTTGCAAAAGGTTTTCTTCTGTTGACTGTAGCTTTTTGAATTTTTGTAATAGCCAAATCTTTTTAATAACTGTGAGTGTGATTACGTGCACCAGATGTGAACAGATACATAGTATATGGCAGTAGAAAGCTTGCTATCTTTCCTCTAAAAGCAAGATGGGGAAATCTAGACTTCAGTGGAGTCTAAGGAAAATCACCCAGTGGCCTCACTAAGTCAAAATACAGCACAACAATGGGTAAAATAAATGTATGCAATAGAGATAGTGTGCTTTTGGCTAATTAACAGTCTTGTATGGTTATGAAACCTTTTTGATTGAGAATAAATAACTGTAACAAGTAAAAATGCCTGTTATAGGTAGCTGTGTCCCACAGTATAGCTTTTCTCAGTATTATTTTTTCTGGAAATGGAGCATTTGTCTTTGTTTCTTCTTCAAGAAATACATCTCCTGCTTCAAAAAGGCTCAAATTTCGTCATTAGTTCCGCTGTACCTCTCAATGGGCACATGAATTTTTAAATCAGTTCAAAAGAAGCACATGGGTTTTAATTCACTTTCAAGAGTAAATAGAGATATTCAAATAAATGCTCATAGTCACTCACAATCTGTGTCTAATCTAACATATTTGATGGATAACAGCAGTTTATGGAGATCCACTGTTAGAAACAGTGGCCAAAGGTATTGTGAGTTGTTCCTGTCATCATACTGCATTCCTTTCCTTCCTCCCTGTGCTTGGTCTTCAGATTCATGCCCTGTCCTAAAGATCTGAAGTTCTCAGTCTTTATCCCAGACAGGGGTATGACATCATGTCTTTCCCTTTATTTGTGTGCCTACTATAAGTTTCGTGCTTGTTGAGTCCTTAGGTTGACCCAGGAGAGGGACAAAGAGGAAACTGGACATTCTAAACTACCAGGTCTCATGTCGAAAAAGGAAATATTTTATACATTCATAATAAGACTGGGCTCGAGGATCTGTCCCTTTGAACTGATGGACATTTTAAAATGTTCTTCAGTTGGTCAGGTTTGCTCTCAAGCTACCCAAGTCCCTAGGTCTAGAAGCAGTGTGTGGGAGTGCAGCTTTACCTATAACAGGAGTAGAATTAGGGTGTGCTTAATGCAATTGGACATACATAAATACATGGCACTGCATGGGATAAATTCTGAGCAAGCTGAAACAGGAGACTAATGTCATTGCAAGGCCTTTCGGTCATCAGTGAAATGTCATAATGATTGTGAGAGGTTCCTGATAACTAGAAAAATGCAAATATCACATGGATTTTGAGGAAGGGCAAGAAGGAAATGTTGGGGACTGTAAGCTGGTCAGCCTAATCTCGTTCTCTGGGAAGGTTATTGAGGTTATTAGGAAGGTGTTCCTAACCACAAGAAGGAGGAAAATGTGATTGGAAACAGCAAGCATGGATTTATGAGATCATAAATGTCTGAACAGATCAAAATGGTTGCCCGCTTTGGTGAAAAAACTGGCCCTGTAACCAAAGAAAGAGCAGTGGATACTTAATACCTTGACTTTATAGCAAAACCTTTGTCAGTTTCCCATAGTATCCTTAAAACTCAATTGGTAAGATATGGACTGGATAAGTGGACAACAAGATGTGTGGAAAGTTGATGCAAGCTGTTAGCTTCAAGGAACTGTGACTGGCAATGCAAATTCCAGTTGGAAAATCTATCATTACTGGCATGTTTGAGGGACTGGTACTGAGACCAGTTTCATTTAAAAGAATTTCTTAATGTCCTGGATGATGAGGTAGAATGTTGTTTAGGTTTGCAGGTGAGTCCAAATTGTGGGAAGTGGTTGATATTCTGGGTAGCAGGGCTGCTATTCAGAGTTACAGGACTGAGGAATGGGCTGAGAGGAACCTCATGAAGTTCAACACAGGCAAATTCAAAATCCTGCATCTTGGATGAAGTAACCCTGAGCAATAGTAAAAAATGGGAAATGAATGACTAGAAAGTACCTTTGCAGAAAAAGATGTGGTGTGCTGGTGGGCAAGAACTTGAATACGAACCAGTCTGTGGCTGTGTGCTCATGCAACGCTGAAGGTGAGCTGTATACTAGGCTGCAGTAGCAAGAGTATAGCCAGCAGTGTTTGTTTTTCACTTTTGAGATGAAAGAAATAAAAGCTGAGGGGAGATTTCATTGTCACCATCAACTACTCTGCTGGAGGATGGTATTTTAGTTGCCATCACAGAGGCTGGTTTCAGCCATGTGCCTTTTTGCCATATCTGCTTCTTATTTTCTGCCAACTAGATTAATACTGATGTTCTTTTGATGTTTTTTTTCTGGGTTTATGGCAAAATCAGTGGGTACTGTGTGCCCCTTCAACTACGCAGATCAGCAGAAAGCAAACATGTTTAGAAACCATTTATTGCTCTATCAAAATGTGCATAGCATATTCCATTTGTTTTGTGTCTTCTGCTTGTACCTCAAAACATTTTTGTGTGTCATTGTACATTTTTTTCCAAAGCCTCTCCAAAGAGCTAGTAGGGACTTATCTGAGAAACAGAATGTTTTCCGTCTGCTGAGACCTAAAGATTTACTCTCAGATTTGTGTTAAAAATAACAAACCCCCACTCCCAAGAACCTAAAAAGACCCTCCCAAAACTGCCAAAACGAGCCCAAAATTTAATGGAGTCCATCAGGTGTATTATGTCTGTTGGCAAAGTTTTTGTCTTATGACTGTCTTGTTCAAATGATCCTGAACTTGTAAGTTTATTCAGAACTAAGAACTGTAATTTCATAGGAATCTTTGGAAACATCCAGATATTTGATTTATTTAATTAGGAAATCTTTTTTTCCTTCAACAGTGATGTTGACTGCAGTGTTCATGTTATTCCTCCAGAAATCTCACTTCCTTATTCATTCAACTTTTTTGCTGAAAAGATTCCCTCAGTCCCTCCTCCTGCCTGTTATCATCTCAGCTGCACCTGAAACACACAAATAAGAAGCCTTGATATCTACCTGAGACTCACAAATAAGAAATCTTGATATCTAAGAGGTCTGACCTCTTCCTTGGTGTGTGTGCAAAACCAGAATTAAGCAGAAGCTGCTGCTGTTGTCTGGCAAGGAAGAAGCTTGGAGCTATGACTCTGTGTGTGTGTGTATAAATATACTTATTGAAATGTTTAGATAATCACATTCTGTATTTGAAGAAGAACAAATTCAGAAGTTTCAAAATAGTTTGTAGAACAGACTTCTTGCTTCCCAGTTAGACACTTTTAGGCAAAGTAGGTTGGTCTCTTCACCACCTCCATATTAAATCAGATCAGAGATCATTCACTCTGCTTCAGTTCAGCATTCTCACCACATCCCATTTGTGTTTGCAGTGTTGTGTACTTCTAGTTGCTCTTGCTCAGTCTAGAACTGTAGGCCATCATTCTCTTAGCCTCTTAACATCCAGATACTGTGAAAACCAGTTTGGCTATATTATCAAAGAACTCTAATCTGAATGCTATTACGAGATTTAAATACATGAATAATTTTATGCTCAATAATAATATACATAGTTTTGTTCTTTGAGCTGTAAGGTGAACATATAATGTATTAATGATATGTAGGATTTAATGAGTAACTAGTCTGATTCTGTCTGCAAATCATGTCTTGAAAAGACATATATGTGTAGATAAAACCAGTACTGATCTTGTACTATCATCCAGTATAAAATAAAGGTGTACTGATTTGTGACAGAATTCACAACACATCTGTGAATGAATCTGATGTGTGTTTGTTGGCAGGGCACACAAGCAGAACATCAGAAATACCGGCAAGTGTGTCTTTCTGGTCTCCTAAGATGAGATGGGGAAATCTCAGCTCCACAAAGGGAAACCTTACATATTTCTATACAAAGGTCTACAATGTAGGTGTAATAAATTTTCTGAATTGTAGGCAAATAATTTCACGAGAAAGTGTTCTATAATATATAAATCTCTCAAATAACAGAGATGAGGTTGAGGTGGGTACTGTAATGAGGGATTTAAAATTACTGATATGACAACTTTGAGGAATGGGTGAGTATAATAAAAAAAATGAAGGTCAGAATATAATGAAAGGATTTTACTAAGTGTGTAGTGACATATGCACATAAATGATTTATGACGGGCTTCGTACATACCAAGGAGGATCGTGTATTTGAAAAGATTTGAAAGAAAGGTCGTATGGGCTTTTTACAGTTCTGCATGCTTCACACAAAGCCATCCAATTGAAAATGACCAGTGCTTGTTGATCCTACAGTTGAGAAGATACAAGTGTATACTTCAGAAACATCTGTAAGCAAGCAGAAAATGAACTTGAAAGGACAAACACGTGCCACATGATATAATTAAATAATTTTTAGTATCCATTCATTATTTGGAAGAGTAGGTAAGTAAGAAGAGCTGTGTTGTCTCTAGAAGTAATAAAAATTTCAGTCAGTTCTAATTCTGTTTAACTTTTCCCTCAGTTCTGGTTCAGTTATAGAATGAGCCAAACTCATTGTTGAAATAAATTCTATTGAAACTTAGAAGTATTTCATGACAGCATATCTGTTTTGGTACATTTTCACTGAAGTGCAAAATGATTCACTGAAACACAGCTGATAGATAGTAAACCACCACGCAGAGCAAATTTCCACTGTGATTTTGACTGATTTCCTACCATCCATCTAGTGAGAAGTAGTCTAAGCTTCCTGTGATTGTAGGACATTTCTCTGAAACTAGGGACCAAATCACTGTGTCTTGAGCAAGTGTCTGTACCTTTCAAGGATAGAGTCTTGATACTCTCCTTTTCCTGGTGTGAATTGGTCCATATACTTTGCAGTTGCTGATGCTGGAACTCCACAGCTGTAGAGCAGAACTTATGTCCTTATTTGTTTGTTTCATCCAGCTTCTGTGCCATGACAAATTTTGCTTTAAGATCATGTGGTTTCTCAAAAATTCTGTCCTTTTGTATTTTGAAAAATGTGTTTTGTTTCAAAATGACATGATATCAAATTCTAGCTTGTGGAAATTTTCTGCAGTGCTCTTGGGTTTGGTCATCTTTGTACATGGTTTTACTATATTAAATTGTTGCCTGTTTGTATTTTGGTGGTACTGTGAGATTTTTATGCTGTGGTGAGTTCAGTATAAAACATGGAAAGAAAAGTCTGTCATACGAGTGATGATGTAGAATATAGTTTTGGCACACTGAAGGGAGATGGTAAGATGACTGAAAAAGCAGGCATTAAAGGAGCATATGACCTCAATATAAAACACAGGTGAGTGAGAATAGAGAGAATTTATAGAATTCCTTTTCTAGTTTACTAAATATTTATCTTTACAATTAGAAAAAGTTTAGAAAAAATACTAAGTGGAACATTTTGTAAATAAGAAAAAGGATGAGAAATACTGAAGTTGTGCTGTTTAATTTATATATGCTAGGATCTGTGAATGGAGTAAATTTTTTCACACAAAAATTTACATAACATAACTTTTAATTGACAGAGCAGTTCTTAAACCAGAGAATGATAAAAAAGTAGTAGTAGTAGTAGTTGGCATTTATAAATATCAACAAAAATTTCAAGCTGCCCATCTGACGAGAGGCTATTCCTACTCTAATTCCTGTATCTATTCACAAGAAGCCACTATGCCTCATTATTTCCATTGTCCTCAGAAGGAAATATATTACTTGTCTTTTCTGAACACAGAGCAGAATCAGACTCTGACACGATAACTTGCCCTTCTCTTCCCTCCTCCTTATCGAGAGTTCGTGTGTCCCTTTCCTCCTATTCTTATCTCTGTAGGTCTTTTTCAATGTCTCCTTTGTCTTCTGTCTTTGAGAATGTCTGTAATTGCAGTCTAATATATTAACTAATAGTTGCTCAGGTTCCTGAATAGGTGTTACAGATCAGGATATACTGTGGTTTTCAGACTCTCATAGAAGTCTGGTTTGAAGATGACTTGGTTTATGTGGAATCATGTTCATTCTGAAAGAAGGACTTTAACATTAACATTGTCCTATTTCTTTACCAGGAAAATATGACTATTGGTTTAACTTCAACCTTCCCTATTGGAGTTGATTCAAAGTAGAGAAGAGTCTGTATTCACACAGAGGAAAGTCAACAATAAGGCAAATTTCATTAGCAATTTTTTAACACATTTTGTAATAGCTAGCAGTGATGTCTGAGGATAATTTCCCCATACCATCATAAAAGCACTCTGAAATTCCAAATTATCATATCACCTTTTTTTTGCACAATCTGTAGGAGTCCTTCTTAGTAAGTTTCCTTCTCAGCATGTAGTGAAAATGAAGTTTGTAAGCATAAATTAGTTGACAGCTGTCAAAATAGTAAACAAAAATTTCAAAGCTGTCCAGGATGTATTGGACATTATAGGCTTTTCTTTGAAGTTATTTTTAAGTGAGTAGTTAGCAACTACTGATAAATGCAACTGGTCCTTTCTAGTGGTAAGGTGGACTAGGCATCATCATCTTCACACCAGCATGTGCAGTTCTCAGCATGGGACTGCTATGTTTGGAGACCGTCCAACAGTTGCATTTGGTGGCAAAGGCAGCACATTGCTTACTTCTGAACACTGGCAAAAAGAACATGTTAAACTGCAGTTCCAGAAACAGCATAGTTTTTGTTTTTATTTCTACAAATTGTTCAAAATGTACACAATGTTCAATGCAGCTCTGTTCATTGTGCGTCCTACATATCTCAGACAATGCTTCTCTTTATTGTAGGTAAAGTTAGCTCAGCAGTTGAGAAACTGTTATTTCAAAATTAAATCAAAGGCCTTGGTAATAGATAATGAGCAACTGACTGTAAGATCAGGACTGTGCTTCCCAAGGATTGAGTTTGTTTAAGTAGAGAAATAAAGATTGCAGTCTGTACAGCATGAATGATAAGGACATATTTTGTCTCACTGTTTTTAATTAACTGTGTTATCTACACTTCATGATTTTTGGAATTAAAAAAAATGTTGTTTTAAAAGCTGTATCTAAAATATTTTTTTTTTCTTACCGATAAAATACCTAGCAAAGCCAAAAGTACCAATAACTCATTTTTGTTTTGACATTCTTCCTTATTGACCCCTAGGCCACACAGTTCTATTCTCTTGTAAATGAAGTACATTCACATGCAGTAGTTTAAATACATTTTTATTGCATTAATTTTATTATTTTTGTTATTGTTATTAATTATTCCTGTTTACCAATTAATTCAATGCCAAGAATCATCCCAAGAATGCATTTGTTCATAGATGTTTTCATTTTCACTTTACATTGACCAAAGAAAATATTTCCAACTGTTAAAATAGAAGATAATTAATTTCCACTTAAGGTACTTGAGTTTGTAAACTCATTGTGCAGCTTTTTTTCTACTGTAGGAGTCTGAACTACCAAATCTAAACTTCATCTATATATCTGTGTATATTTAGTGCCAAGGTCAATAGAGCATCCTAAATGGGATTGGAAGACAAAACCGGAGAACCATGATTTTGATGAACTAAATCATATTCTTCAAGAGAGCAAAAAACTTGGAAAAGCCCTTGAGAATCTGTCTCGCAGTAAGTTCATTGATTTTAGTTTTTTTATGTAACCATGCAGCCTGAATTGTCATTTGGAAGTATATACCAGAAAGGTGTCTTCTATTCAGTGAAGACCAGGTTCATTGACATCAGCAGTTACATTCCTGTTGATAAGGTTTACAGAATGTCTGAGATAATTCAGTAGCCCTCCTGGAAACTGAAACTCCACTCCTTTATTTTAGTTTTCTGCTGGTTAGGTGAGCTGAATTAGCTCATAAAGAGATCAACAGAAGAGACTGGTTTAATGGAAATGGTGGGAACATGCAGCAGGGAGACTGCTTCTTTGGGTGGTAGCAGTTGTATTAGATTAACCTTTGTAAAACTTTGACCTCATTGATGGAGTTCAGACCTATCACTGAAAAACACTTAGCTATCTTTCATCCTTGACTCCAGTCAGTTTCTTCCAGTTTTCAAAGCAATTAAAATATTTTAAAGCATCTCAAATAAATACTCAGAAACATGAAATCCAATTATTTCATAATAAAAGCCACATATTATCCCTTACACACTTTTTTCCCCTCTCTTTACTATAGAAGAGAATTCTGAAGTACATTTGAGGGAACAAATATTACTAACAGTTATTAAAGTATGAAAAGTACTCCTTGCCGTGGTGCATAAAAACTAGGAATGGTGTGATTTGGGAGATACTTGAAAGAGAAATATTTTTTTTATCTCATTAAATTTTATCCATGGCAATTCTTCATTCACTGGAGAATTTGCAGATGGTGAGATCAGAGACAGAGCTGAATAAAAAATGGAAGATCTGTTTTGAGGAGAATTTTGAGAGCCAGCATTTTTCAAAATTGTGCCAAATACCCAAACTGGTTTGCCCAAATTCCCTCTCTCCCAAATATTTTAGGTTGATCACAAGAATTATATTCTGAGAAATTTTCATATTTATATTAATGGTAGTAGTATAGTTATAGGGCTTTTTTCAAATACAGATCTAGTAAATAAGTCTATCTGCTTGCGAGGAGCTAAACCAATTCCAGTCAGGATCTTTGATTTGTAGCCTCACTATTGCCTGACCGTTTTACTGTGATGGGTGTGAGTGTACTTTTCAAGCCTTTTTTCTTTAGAGACTTGTAACCAAGCTTAACACAGATACAGAAACAATTATTTTCGATTTCAGAAAGGATTATTTATTCACTGTCAGGAGATACAAACCAATCAGATATGAGAGTTCAGTAATTAATGGCTAAATCAGCTCTTCAATCTTTGTCTTTCCTACTGAATATTGTGTAGATTCCACACAATCTAGCTTCCTTATCCCTAAAATACAATTTGCAGCATTTTGTACCTCTCTTTGTAACAGTTTTCTGACCAGAGTGGAAAACACTTCAGCTCTTCTGGGTCTTACGCTTGAACCAGGTCAATGTACCTGGTCAGCGTTGTTACAGTCCAATTTTCACAGTGTTATTTCACAAATGAAATATTCTTCACTGTTTCTTGCTAGTACTTGATGTTTTCTGAGGGTTTATCAAGATAGTACGGAATTTGAATCCCAGCCCCCAGAGTGCTTTAAATCACTTGCAGCCTGATAACGAGTTCACTTTTATGAATGTGCTCTCTATTTCTTCATCCAGACCATTAATGGAAATATTGTCAGACCTCTTCATGATCCCATTTCAAATCTGACAACCAGCTCTTGAAAGCTACTCAGTAAGTGCATTTTTTCCCACCAGATGTTTATCTGCCGTGCAGTGATTTCACCCAGAATGTAGTTTTCAAGGTTTTTTTACTAGAGTATCATTCAGGACAGTAAACAAAGTCACATAGCTGAAGTATTTTGCATCTGCTTCCTCCTCTTATCCACTAGGCAAGTTTCCCAGTTGAGAATGCAATTAGACTGATGTGACGCATTTCATTCTTGATAAATTCATGTTGGCTCGTTCTTATTGCCTTTCTATTCCATTAGATGTTGATACATTGTTTATTTAACAGTTTTCTCTAAGATTTTTGCTATTTTAGTCTGATTTAGGCTTTCCCACATCTTCCTTTTTTCCTTTTTCAAGAAAGATATGGTATTTGCCCTTTTCTGTCCTCTCTATTCCTGAAAGACTGTTGCTAATGGATAAGAGGCTTCTTCAGTTAGTTGAGTGCTCTAGAGTGAATTTCACAAGATTCTGCCAACCTGAATGTATCTAAGTCATCAGAATATCTTTCAGCTTTCACTAGTCTGGCTTGCAGATTTTCCTCTTAAAATCACTAGTGTTAAGCATCTGGCCACAATTAATTTTTTGTTAGACTGAAGCAGTGAAAGTACTGAACACTGGGAATTCTTTGTGTCATCTCTTATTTGCTTTCCTTCTCTTTGATGTAATAGTTCTGCATTTTACTTTGTCCTCCTTTCCTAGTGTATTTATAGTATCTTTTCTTGTGACTTCTTTTGTTGTTTGATAGTTGTTAGTTACTCTGTGCTTTAACCTTTTTCTTTGTATCATTTAAACACTTGCATCAGATTAATTCTAAGATAATATGTCCTTGTTTCTAGGTTTCATATTGCTGATTTTAAGTTCATTCCAGGAAATAAAATTTCTTTTCTGTGATTTCTTTCATGTCAGCGCGATAAAAAAATCAAAATGAAAAATGTGAAATCTGTAAAAATAGAAGATATGCAGTTTGGAAAATAAATGTGTTGTTATTGTTCTCCCAAATACAGAATACAGATTGCACATTGAAATTTCTTAGGGGGTTTCAATGAACAAGCATGTCTAGGACTTAAGAAGTATAAGACACATGAAACTTATTCTGTGCTGTCCCCAAACAAATGTCCCATGTGATGAATTTTATGAAAGCCATCACAAGGTCCCATATCTACTTTCTCCAGTGTTGATGCTTGTTTTGGGAAGGCTAGTCAGTGCTTTTGATTCTACAAGCATGTTATGAGTCTAATGCTGCATTTGATACTAATCTTGTTTGGAAGCAGTATGGGACAGGCACTGTGCTCAACAGATAGCTGAGTATGCAAATGATCACAATGTACTATCAGCGGCTTTGTACTGCACCCTCTCATTTCATTCTTCAGTATTTTAACAGGGAAATGTGACACATAAAATGAGATGTTTGAAGTTAAGTGAATTTTTCATCACGTCCCAGAATTTGTTTACGTTTTTAAAGATAAGCTTTGGATCTTGTAGTGAGTTTCCATGACTTTGTTGCCTGCTATGCAGCTGACACAGCCTGTGAGTTAAACTCTAGTTGCTTCATTTACTACGCAGTCTAGGTACCTGCTTTGAAACCAACTTGTGCACTTCACACAAAATTAGAACTGCCTGTAAGTGTTGGAAGGTGAGACTCAGGCACTTAGATGTCTGATCTCTTGTGTATTCAGTCCTAGTGATTAAAACTGAACTTGCTTATATTTGGACCCCTTCTCCCAAGCCCCATCAAAAAAATATGTGAGTAATTCTGTGCTGTAGTAGATCTGAGAAACCAACAGTGACTTCACAGTCAGAGTTAAAAGCATCTTAAATGTTTTGAGAGTCTGAAGAAGATTATTGTTGTAATTATGGTCTAAGCGTGATGGAACTTCATGATTTAAATATACCATTTTTCAGAGCCCTACCCACTTGTGAAAGCTGGGTTTTGTTTGCTTTTCCAGTCAAGTGTATGTCATTGAAGTCGATTTGGAACTGGATTTAGGGCAGATTTTGGTTTATGAAGCAACATATAGGAATGTACTGCGTTTCCCTTGTGCACGTCTGATTTTCTTTTATTGCAAGGTCTCTTACCTTTACTGCTGTCATCTTTCTTCCTCTGCTGATCATAAGGAATAAAAGTTCCATGTATGCTCTTGTATTTCAACTTCTGGCCTTCAAAGAGAGTTAAAATCTCCCATATAGCTAAGGATCTTGCTAATGAATATGCCTGTCTTCACCCTCCATTTTCTGAGGATGCAAAAATAGATAACAAGAGATGGAAACCAGTGAATTATGAGTGTTTTGAGTGGGGAAAAAATGAGGGCTAAATTAGTGAGAGCTTGGTGCAATTAGATGTGAAGTCTGTATACTTTGTGAACAACTTTGCATCTTTTAAACAACCAGTTAAGGATTAAAGTGCATATTGAAAATGTATGCATATTGAAGATTTAATTTAAACATGGTAACAGCATTTGATGACACAATGTCTTCTGCTGTGAGATAGATACTTTTTCATAATTACATGTAACCTTTTAATGAAGATAACCAACATTTCGTTAGTAACATTTGAATCCTTATTCAGGCTAGGTGTATACTACATAACAGACATTTTAAGGTCAGAAAATGGTAGTAAGTTAACATTAACCAAAAGTATTTGGTAATGAATCCAAATCAGTTAGTTGGAGGGAATCCCAGAAACAGTGGTAACAAACAGGAAAACAGTATTCTTTCATTTCTTAATTTCAAAGGGGATTAATTAATAAATAATCAGTAAATAAGGAAACAATGTGCAGTCTAGTAGGAAATAGTGCTTGAAACCATAATGAATTACAAAATCACAGAATGGCCGAGGTTGGAAGCAATGGCTGGAAGTCAACTGTTCCGAACCTGCTGCTCAAGCAGGCTCACCTAGGGCCAGGTCTCCAGGCTCTTCAATGCCTCTAAGAATGAAAAATCTCGAGTCCCTCCAGAGTATCTCAAACAGTTATTTATCATAATGTTAGAATCATTTGATATTGTTTATGCATAGGTTAAGAAAGACAAACACGATCTTACCTCTTTAAGAAAAATATTAAATAGTGAAACTAAAAGCATGTGTTCTGTTTATCTTTTACAGGGAAGTATATAAGCAACAAGAGTAAAAATCTCATAACAAGAAGGGTAGAACTAGTTCTAAAAAAGATCACAATATGTTAACAACCACTAAAATCATGTCCTTAGTTTTATGGGTGAACCTGCAAGTGTGTGGGATGTGAGAAGCTTAATATATACATCATGATCTACTTCAATGCATTTAGTAGTCTCTGAAACATATTAGAATGGGGTTTCATTTAGAAG